ATTTTTTATGAGGGTCTTCTGAAATCAGGATGACAGTGTGACTAGACTACTAGGATTCTCTATGTCACTAAGCTTTTCTGGCTGTTGTTTTGATGTCAGTGGTGGCTATCACTGCCTCAGTAGTCAGTTTCGGTTTACTTTGGTCTAGAAGGCTTAGTCCCACTGTATAACTCAGGCCAATATGGAACTTCATATCTTCCTCCCTTTGCCTTCCCAGTACTGAGATTACAGGTGTGCATCACCCAGCCTGGCCCTCAGCAGGAGTCTTTAAATGAAGGTATAATGTACATTACCAGAAATGACCTGCCTGCTGTTACCTCATATGGCAGCTTTCGGTGACTTTGCAGAAATTGCCTTTGGGTAGCAGAATGCCAGGGACATTTCATGCCTCAGTCCAAATAAGGAGACAAATTTCATTCCTTACGAGGGGCCTATAAAAAAGGATGAGTCAGAAAGAAGGGCAAGATTGCTGCTGAGGGGAGAGGATAAGGCAGCAAACCAAGGTTTCATTACCACATTTCGGGGCCTTAAATGATTTTATGCTGAGAATGACACCTCTTAGCACTTGTTTAAAAGTATGTTCATCTATGTGTGCTCCACTTTGCCTGCCTTGCACATGGGAAGTGAACCACCACATAATGTATTTTTCCAACTGATGTCTGTTTCCTACAGTAGCACAAAGCTGTCAAGGTCATGGCAGCCGATGATTTACCATTAGTTAAATGCCCTTGAAATCCGTTCCCTTTCGCCATGGCTCTCAGTAGTAGTGCCCATGATATTGATCTTCATGGGTTTTGTTTTCAAGGCTTTTCCTTTCTCTGGAGTAATTTAAAGAACAGTCTGTAGCCACTCATACAGTTTTTATGAAAGTGGGATTTTTTTTTTTTTTCCTAGTCCTGGGGAGTGAAGCCAGGTCCTTGTGCATGCTCTGTAGAACAGGTTAGCCTTGAACTCACAGCAATTTGCCTGACCTTGCCTCCCCAAGTACTGGAATTACAGGTATGCACCACTTCAAATACTAGCATTTACAGTAAGTAAGTATTTAAAACATTTCAAGTATTTGGTGTATAGACCAGATCCTCTGCAGATGCAGGAGGATCTCTGTGAGTTCCAGGCCAACTTGATCTACAAAAAAAGTCTAAGACAGCCAGGGCTACATAGAGAAACCCTGTCTTGAAACACAAGCAAAAAAATAAAGCTGACAGGTTAATTTTTCAAAGTCCCATGTTTTCTTGGAGTCATGGTAGCAGGGGATTATTTCTTACCCGACTTTGGCAAAAATGAATGTTAAGCTGTAAGGGAAGTCACTAGCAGTTAGGCCAAGAATGCAGATGGGTGCTGAGAGTGGAGTTTCTCGTCAGGTACACAGAGCCATGCATGCCAGCTGTTTTACTCTGGTTTTTGAGACGTCACTAATGTGTTGCTCTGGCCCTTTGTGAAAAGGCTCTGTGAGAAGAATCTGCCCTGGTCACCCAGCCTGCTGTCCCTCTGTGGTGCTTTGTGTTCCCGGATATCTTTGGATTCTGTTTAAATGTCCTTGTTAACACATTCCAAGGTTTGAACTCCATTCCTAGCTAAACCTCTTCCTTGTTTACAGGGACTGAAATAGCTACATCTTGACCTTGTGTTCAGTCTGGGACATAGATGGCAGTGTGGATACATTCTTTTCCCATGTGAGAATTACATCTCCATGGTAGCTGAGGGCACTATAGGTTCTGCACTTCTCCTTTCCTAACTTCAACTGCTCCCATTGAGAGGTGCAGAAGGGAGAGAAGAATGTTACCAAGCCAGAATTAGAGGCTTATTCACCGTATCCTAGAGGGATTGGCATCCTCTAGAAGGGTGCCTCAGAGCTGGTTGTGTAGAGCCCAGGCTGGACCTCCAAGCACAGTTCCCCGCCTGGTAGACTACAACATTGATGAGAGGAGCCCAAGTGTCAGAACGAAGGGACATTTTGCTGTACCCTCCATCTGGGGTTGAGGCATCTTAGGGAAGAAAATAATATCCAAGATAATTCCTGCCTAGCAGTTCTGTAGGGACTTCTCTCATTACGGAGCCCTTCCTGATGGAGGGGCCTAGGGAAAGGTGAGTTTTCAAAAACTGAGTTTATAAATGTTGGTGAGGGGGATGTTCACAAAAAGGGAGAGAAAAAAAGCCTGAGACAGTCTTGAAGGATGTACCAAGGCAGCGGGTCTTAATCCCTTTGGGGAACAAACAACCCTCTTACAGGGGTCACACATCAGTTATTTACATTAAGATTTATGGGGATGATGCTTAGAGGCACTCAGAATGGTGCAGCTTCCGACATATTTTGACATATTGTAGGCACTCCTACAATAGAGCCTCTAACAAAACCAGGCTGTCTCGAACCCCTGGCAACAGGATTGCTTACCTGTATACCAAGGAGATCGGGAAATCACCTAAACCTGCATGTGGTGTGTGCCCAGGCAGACTTAAAGGGGTTCATGCTGTGAGGACCAAAGTCCTTCCTTATGAGACTTGTCTAAGACAAAGAAGCTTGTCAGCAGGGCCTGTGGTGGTTCCATGTGTGCCAAACATGTGTGTGACAGGTCAAGCGGGCTTTCCTTATTGAGAAGCAGAAAATCATTGTGAAAGTGTTCAAGGCACAAGCAAGATAAATATGCTTTTTGCTTGGTCTAAAAAAAGATTCATTTCAGTAGCAGAATTACAGTTATGAAGTAACAACAAAATAATTTTATGGCTCGGAGTCACCACAACTTGAGGAACTGTATTAAAGGGTTACAGCATCAGGAAGGCTGAGAGCTGCTGTAATGAGAGAATCAAAGGATAGGAAGAAGTATGAAAGATGCATGAGGAGCTGCTGAAAGAATCATTTTCACCTTCTGACTCAAGGCAAAATGGCTGAAGACTGGAAGTTAGAGGTTAGTGGGAGGATGATGCTAGGGACAGACCTGCCCAAGGCCTTGGTCAGGGACAAATAGCAATGTTGAGATTTGAGTGGAGCAGAAAGTAAGCCCCAGTGCACAAGGTTAATTTAGACTACTGTTCAACTGCCTACCCTGGCACAGCCATAGTGTCAGGCCTGTTCCCTGTAGCTGGCCCGTGCTGTCATCTTTCTCAGGGTCTCGAAAGCAGCGTCACACTAAGTCATGTTCACTGGCTGACTGCATTCCCAAGATGTCCATCTCTGAAGCAGGATGATCTCCACAGACCTATTCTGTTCCTAAAGCCCAGTGCAGTGCCTCATGAGCCCCTGCAGCACACAGCCTGGGGTTGATGGATTGTAGTCAGGGTGAAGAGGTACAGCTGTAGATGGTGAAACTGTGTCATTTCTATGAAGCAGCTGTCTATGGGGAGCAAGGCAGGAGTGCTCAAAGAGGATCAGTGCGTCAGCAGAAGTTCCTTTGGCAGATCAGTGATGTGAGGAAGTGAGTCAGACTATGAAGCCAGAGGCTCACAAAGGAATTTCCATTGCTGTCACCTTTTAGGTGACACCACCTTCTGTCTGAGTCCCCCTCCTCTCACCCAGCCAGGGAAGTGTCACCTGATGCACACCTAGGTGTGGGAACTCTGGAACCCACCCAGTCCCAGGGAGAAGTGGTTTTGGTGACTGACTTGAAAGTGGGTGTAACAGTGTGGCTCTGACTAGCCAGGAGCTCATGTGTAGTCCAGGCTGCCTGAGCTCGAGCTCCCCATGCCTCTGGGACTGCCTGCCTAGAGATGGACACAGATTCTCCTCAACTGAGCATCACAGATATTCACCCCTCGCTGGTCGTCAGCAGCAGAACACCAACAGGCAGAGGACGCAGAAAGTGAGAATTTCCTCAAGGAGTTTTTGTTGTTTATTCCTGCCAGATAAATGCTTCTGAGTGAGAATTGCTGCTGCCAGAAGATAGGGAGAAGGAAGTGGTCACTGTGCAAGGCTAAAGCATTCCTACAGCTCTCTACGGGAAGCAGCTGTTAATGTGCTGGGATTCCATATTTGCAACAACCGGGAGAGACAAAAGCACAGACTGACAGCACAGTACACCCATGCATGTCAGTTCCTGCTCTGAAAAGCTGTGTACAGTTCACCTTCTCCCTAGTACTTTTCCAAGCTCCACAGGCACATGGTGACTGTATTTGTGCCATGAAACTTGTAGGCCATTATTATTATCATCATCACATAAGCATTTCTCTGTACAAAATCCTATTCTAGTCTGCTGGTATTTATACCCTTTCTGTGTTTTACAACACGAGTCTAACCTGTCAGTAAGATAGCTAACCTCTCAATAAGATAGCAAGAAAATACAGGGAGCTGGAGAATATAACATGAATGACAGAATAAAAATAGGCTTCCAGAGTATCCCAGACAGCACTACATAGCTGTGGATAGCATAGATTAGCAGTACTCAGTGGGAGGACTGTGAGTAGCCTGGGCAACAAAGCAAGCTTTCAAACGGAAATAAATAAGTAGATAGATAGATAGATAGATAGATAGATAGATAGATAGATAGATAG